CATACGATCCAGCAATTGCACTACTGGGTATTTACCCCAAAGATACAAATGTAGGGATCCGAAGGGGTACGTGCACCCCAATGTTTATAGCAGCAATGTCCACAATAGCCAAACTGTGGAAAGAGCCAAGATGTCCATCGACAGATGAATGGATAAAGAAGATGTGGTATATATACACAACGGAGTATCATGCAGCCATCAAAAGGAATGAGATCTTGCCATTTGCAACGACGTGGATGGAACTGGAGGGTGTTATGCTGAGTGAAATAAGTCAGTCAGAGAAAGACATGTATCATATGACCTCACTGATATGAGGAATTCTTAATCTCAGGAAACAAACTGAGGGTTGCTGGAGTGGTGGGGGGTGGGAGGGATTGGGTGGCTGGGTGATAGACATTGAGGAGGGTATGTGCTATGGTGAGCACTGTGAATTGTACAAGACTGATGAATCACAGATCTGTACTTCTGAAACAAATAATGCAATATATGTTAAGAAAAAAAAAGAAGAAGAAGATAGCAGGAGGGGAAGAATGAAGGGGAATAAGTCGGAGGGAGAGATGAACCATTAGAGACGATGGACTCTGAAAAACAAACTGAGGGTTCTAGAGGGGAGGGGGGTGGGGGGATGGGTTAGCCTGGTGATGGGTATTAAAGAGGGCACATTCTGCATGGAGCACTGGGTGTTATGCACAAACAATGAATCATGGAACACTACATCAAAAACTAATGATGTAATGTATGGTGATTAACGTTAACAATAAAAAATTATTTAAAAAAAAAGGAGAGAAGAGACTTTCAATGAAGCAATTTTAGAAGCTTTTTCACAACTCAAGGGCATGATTTCCCGGATGTGAAGGGCCTGTCAGCCACCAGTGGGATGGATGCAAAGTCCCAAGAAATAGCATCATGAAATTTTGGAAGAGTGGGGACAGGTTTCCAAAATAGACAGGTCATACGTAAAGGACCAGGTATGAGAATGCTTGGGAATTCTCAGCAGCAACACTAGAAGCCAGGACTTCAAAATCCTGAGGGGAAAATGCTTGCTAGCCCACATTTTTATATGCAGACTATGATTTGAGCAGGAAGATAGATTAACAGCATGTTTAGATATGCAAGTTTCTCAGTGAATTTCCTTTCCCCACACCCTTGCTCAGTAGGCTACTGGAGGATGTGCACCACCAAAATGAGGAAGTGAAGCAAGGAGGGAAACATGGGATATAGGAAATAAATGTCCGATACAGAAATAGGGTGTCCAAAACAGAAAGGCAAAGGGGAGAGTGAAAGACAACCCCAGGATAACCGTGCCAAGAACAGAGGGTGGTTCATTCAGACTAAAGAAGACAGAGGGTCCAGGAGAAGCTTCTATGGGAAGTTATAAGTAACTATGGCTACCTGATGTTCCTCACTAATCATCACATTACCATCACATGGTAATGATCCATGAGGTAGTAAGAAATTTTTCGGCATAAGAAACCCAATCATTTAATTCACCAGCAATTCACCAAATATTACAGTATTTGGACGTCATGACATCCTTTTTTTCCCCAAAAGGGCTGGGGGCTTAAGGGAGAATCTTAAGCAGGTTCCATGCCAAGCCCAATGCAGGACTCGATCTCACAACCCTGAGATCATGACGTGAGCCAAAATCAAGAGCCAGACACCTAACCGACTGAGCCACCCAGGCGCCCCATTTGGGCAAGTTTTTAACCTTTCTCAGCCATTATCTCGGGGCTAACAGGGCTAACAAATTATCCCAGGTTATTGTGAGGATTAAAGCACAGGACAGGGCATGGCCTGACACAAGGCACTCCTGCACTAGTGGGAGCTGTCATAACTTGGAGAACTTCTCAATATGCTTTGAAAGATAGAAACACATGGAGCGTTTTTGTAGCCGTTAGCTGATACTGAACAGGCTTCACCTTGCCCAAAGTTTCCCGTTTCAACTACAGGGACTAATGGGAAATAACTAAATGAGGACCTACAGTGATAGTAAGAGAGGCTTAAGGTTGAGTTTAGAAGTAGCAGGGAGCTACTTAGTGATGGTCAACCTAGCTCTGCAAAAGCCTCGCCTGGGGAGCTTCTGAAAAACATCATGGGCCCATCCCTGAAATTTGGATTCAATTTGTCTGGGATAAGGCCCAGACACCAGTATTTTTCAGGTCCCCAAGTGATTCCAGTGTGTAAGAAGGTTGCTTCTAATAGAGTTGAACTGCTCTAGACACTAACAAAGAAATTATTAGGAAATGCTAGACAAGCAGGTGCGGGGTAGGGGGCGCTGAGCAACAAGGGAAAAGCAGGGTGGCTAGAGTGGCTGCAGGACACTCAGGAAGAGGGAAAGTTAATACACAAGTCATTCCATTTGCTGAAGTATCAGCCTCCCATGTGTCTCCAAAACCTCAAGCAGGTCTGCTACACAAGTAGCAAAGGTAAAGAGGGTTTTGGTGTAAGAATCGACTTAAGAGCCACATCAGGAAAGAGCCTTGAGAGGAGAGTCCCATTGGAGCAGGAACTCAGAACTGGGGTGTCTGTGCTGGACACATGGCGGGGCCACGGGACGGGGCTGAGACACCAGACTGCAGCAAAAATGACACAGTCAAGGGAAAAAAAATCCACATGTATGGGGTTTGCTGCTCACCATGCTCAGATTCCTGGCATCATGTCACCATGACCTTGACGCTCTTATCACCACCTAATTCCACAGCTCTCCCTCCATATATAAACTCCCGATTCATTTGCACAATTAAAATTTAGGTTAATTGAGTCTAACCTCTTCCTTAAATTCTGATCAAATAAACTGCCTGGATGAATCCAATTAGAGCTCATTCACATCCTTACAAGTATTTTTTATTTTATTTTACTTTATTTATTTTTTTTTAAAGATTTTATTTATTTATTTGAGAGAGAGAGAGAATGAGAGATAGAAAGCACGAGAGGGAAGAGGGTCAGAGGGAGAAGCAGACTCCCTTGCTGAGTAGGGAGCCCGATGCGGGACTCGATCCTGGGACTCCAGGATCATGACCTGAGCCGAAGGCAGCCGCTTAACCAACTGAGCTACCCAGGCGCCCACAAGTATTTTTTATTTTAAAGATACAGGCCAAATATACTATAAATGCCCCATTTCCATCTGTCATTTCACATAATTAAAAAATAGGATATAATCTAATGTGTCCAAAAATAACACAAAGATTATAAAACATGACTAGAACCTACACCTAATTTTTAAAAACTGTTCATTACAATGTGTTTTTAGTAATACCTACTGAATTTAGTAATATCTAACTTCACATATATACATCATGAAAAATAAAAAGAATAAAAAAATGCAAAACACACGAACCAATGTAAGACTGAGGTGTTCAGCTTTAGAAAAATTAAAGCCAGCAAATAGTTTTTATGTGTCCATTTATTGATTGCTGGGAATACAGCCTATTGAGAATACATGACATGCATTTTGGGAGAGAAATTAACCAAATCTGAAATGAGGCCATTCAATAAGCCTTCTAGGAGTTAATAAGGTAGCAGATTAGATCTAAAGTCACCGTGTGGGAAGAGTCAAACGGCAACCTACAGTTGTCATTAAGATTCCAGCTGCAAATTCTTTTGGAACTTATTTATTCTTAATTACTTAGAAACTACCAGGAAAGACAGAAAATCACTCTGCCTCTTTAGCTTAAACTAATGCAAGGAA